GAGGAGGAGGAGAAGAAGAAGAAAAAAAGGAAGAAGGAAAAAGGAAGAAAAAGAAGAAGAAAGAGAATGAACGAGAATAAGAAGAAGAAATGAAAGAGAAGTTAGAAGTGTTGTTATGTGTAAATTCATATGGATCAAGAACCGACTAAACGCCAGTAACCGACTTAATGCAAATCTCCAATATGAATGGATCAAGACTCAAAGATGCTTTATTAGAGAATCAAACTTCTGTAAGACACACAACCCCTCCCCCAGAAAAACACAAAGCGGCTAACCGAGCTAACAGTCTACTAAGAAGCATTTCCTGTTAATTAACCTGGGAAAGTTCCTAGCAGTAAACCCTTCGCTGTTGATAATAAATACCAACGTGAATAATTGCGCTAGTCTGTCTGTAAACTTCTTCATGACAACTACGAATTTCCACCAAAGTTCTTTCAGCACGTATACGTTATCCGTCGAGACAGGCTTGAAACAGACGAAAGCCAGTTTTGAAGATTTATACCAATCGTCTTCACGAGCGCAGGAGAGAAGAATTCGTAGGACGAAAGGACGAGAGGGTGCTAGGTTTTACCCAGTGCAACATGATGAGGAACGAGAAAACTGTACCTCAAATCTATAAACGTTTTTCAGGGGAATGGAATGAGAGGGAGAAATATCAAGGAGTGCTTTTACAGCTGGTCTCGCTGAGAATTCGAGTAGCACACCTGTAGCCTTTTACTCACACGGTATTTCGGAAAAAGATTGTGGATTACGAGGCATCAACGTTATGATGTCGACGGTGTCTGTTGCAGGGAGCCTAGTTTTAGGGAAGCTTGTAAAACGGGAACGCAAAAAAATCTGCTCTGCTTTTTTTGTATTACATTTAATCATAAAATGGAATTGAAAGTTATTTTAGCACATGCCTATAGCTTCCAGGATAAACAAATAGCTACATATCCTATGATTAGACATAAATGAGTTGTTTTTAAAAAAATAGGTCTCAAAACTTGGCAGCCTATAGCCAGTAACTATCTATAAATGTTTTCACCTTAGTTACCTCCAAAGGGTAAACAACCTGTTATATTTTTCTGGGCCAAGCACAGTTCTTCTTAAAATTGCATTCGTATCATTAGCTTTGAGAATTGCTTTATTTTTTTGGACTCACCTCTGTTACCCCGTCAAAACAATTGGCAGATTTATAATAGTCTCTTATCATTTCTTTTCTTTATACATATACATTGAAAAATAAAACGATCGCATTTCTTGAATGTTCTATCTTTCTTAACCAAGTCAAGAGATTTATTTTTAAAAAAAAGAAGATTTTTGTCATCAAGTTTATGCCCAAATAAAGTTGCATGCATTGTAAAACAAGCAAATTCACAATAATGTTTTAGAGCACAGTCTCACTGTGGAGGTCCAATCCAACTGTCAGAAACAATGGTGCTGGAGGGATTACGGAAGTAGTCTGTTGTAATCCCACGAAGACATATCAAATCTAGAAGATCAGAAAAGGTCTTAACAATTTGCTGTACCTGGCAGAGAGCGGCTGGCTGTAGGCATTTTTTCGTTTTGGGGGGAAAGGGGGGGGGGGTTATTTACTATACTGGAGGGCATCCAAATAGAAATCTTTACTTTTATGAACTTTGTGTGGGTTCCTTTTGTTATCTATGGCAAGGGTTGCCTTCTCGATTTAAACCCTCGATATATCTCAAGGCCCCCAAACCTCAAACTTTTAGTTGTCATCTTTAGCCTCTGTGGATTTAATCTAACGGTTAGAGTGACCAAACACACTAGACTGGGCTAAAATTAGGCTTCATAACACTGGGCACAATTATAACGCTAAGTGTCTTTTCTGCTCTCCATCAATATTCTTTTTCTTCTTCAGGTTACAGGTCAGGAGCAGACATTGGCGATCATGGTACCCAATTTCTTCCTGTCGTTTGTCTTCTTGATCAGCTCGCTTTTTCTCTTTGTGTTATTCACTGCAAAGTTGTTCAGGTCATCTGTGTATGTTGTTCTTTCTTTTACTCTGCTCTTCTTTCGCTCTATCTTATCATCGATATAGACGGGAACTGAAGCAGTATGCATGGTACAGATCTGCCTAGGTACTACTTCCCTACCTTCAGATTTTGACTTGTTTGTTGTTATGTTTGAGTAAAGAGAGGCACATCGACACAATAATGGTCATTTAGTGCTGGGAGAAAGTAAAACAGACGGACAGAATCAACAGAGGGAAAGTCAAGAAGTAGGACCTACTAGTGGCGCCCTCTAACCACCCCGCTTGACTTCTTAGATATGCTCCAAAGGAGAGACGTGGTCTATACGCTTGTAATGAAAGGAGCTGTAAGTGTAATTGATGTTTTAGAATTTTACAGGTGTACTAGGGATATAATTAATGTTTTTTCAGAGTACGAAGTATGATGATTAAAACATGACGAGTATATATTGAGTCAAACGCAGCCACCACTGTCTTAACATCTGGCACTGCACTGGCCCGGGCTTGATCACACCCAGGATGACAATACTCCCAACCCAACAGAAATGGATCGTTAATTCATAAACGCATCTTCACGGTGTAAGACCCTCCAGGTACGTAGTTCTTTCTGATGACGGGCATCTTATTTCTGTCTTCTGAGCACCATCGTATAAAGAAAAAGAAATCAGAACCTTTGCACAGTGTACTTCACATTGGTGTGTGTTCCGAAACCTTGTACCTGAACATGGTTTAAGACTAGGAAGAAAAGAAAAATGAAGAGTT